GGGTCTTTTCCGAAGCTGGCAGAAGCCGCTGTTCACGCTGTTTCTGTTCGAGACAGACCTGGAAACGTTCCAGTCGAACTCTAACGAGTCTCTAATTGCATGTACCTGCTTCATTAGCGATCAAGGGTGGATCCGCGTTATCGAAGGGTGGTGGGATCTCATCGAGACGGCATCGGGCTAACGAGTTTTTCAATCGCCTCCGATCAAATTACAAAGTTTCATTCTGCTTATATAAATGAAAGTTCTTTATTATCCTCGCGCTATACTCGTACTCGTACTCGTACTCGACGAGCTACGAGCAGCGCGCGCGCATTTAACGATCGCCTGTGAGGGACGCTTCCGATATAATCTGAATTGTTTGGAAAGCGAAAGGAGAGCGCGCGTGGAAACGCGCGAAAGTCGCGCTGCGGAGTAAATCGCGATTTTGAAAGAGGCTTGGGTAGAGAAGTCGGCGCGCGTCTCTCGGAACGCTTTCAGATAGGAATTAAAAGTATACTCTCGGCGGCGCGCGGAGAGTCGTCCGGCGGGATCAAGGTCGACGGGACCGAGCGCGAAGTTTTGCGGCCGGTGTAAAATCCGGCGGCTAAACACGACGAGGAGGAAACGAGGCGGAGATCTCACGCGCAAAGATGTCCACGCGTCGCGTCCCTCGTGAAGATGTAAGACAACCCGATCCGTAAAACAAATCGGCCCGCGCCGGCTCGAAGAGGGTCGTCGCCAAGAAGACAGGTTCAAGATCGGATCGTCCGCGTTGAATGGCCGCGATGGCGCGGCATTCCGTTCGATGACTCTCGTTTCGACCGGACAAAGTCGATCGAGAGTTGGAAAGGTTAATCGCGAATTATGCGGAGAGTGCGGCATTAAGAGTGACCTCGTGCGAAACCGTGCGCCTTTGTGCTTCGCACGTCGCTGACGCACGGTTAGGTTAGGTGGCCGAAAACCGTATCGTTGGCGACAATTTTCATGATTCCAGCAGTATCCCGACTTACTTGGTACTCGGACGAAGAGTAACAATCACACACAGCTCGGACTGACTCTGCATCTTTGCATGTCCTCGATACGCCGCGCAGCTACCATGAGGAGAATTCAATTGTCGCACACAATCGATACTTTTGTACCGCCCGAAAGTCTGTTAGTCGGGTTCTCGAAAAGTCGTGTAGGCTCTGTAAAGTCAGAAATCTACTCTGTGGTACAATTTGTGGAAGCGAAGTGGTACCTCTCTTAACGGCAATGCCGGCGGGTAAAAAGTGTCATTATATAAGGTAGTTCTCTTTGCGAGAACAATCATTTAACGTTCCGTCGAAGGATTTAACGTTTGAGCGGTCGAGCGAGAGAGAGAGAGAGAGAGAGAGAGAGAGAGCGAGAGCTAGAGAGAGCGAGAGAGATGTGACAGTCGCCTTCCTCGAGTCACGATATCACTTTCGAGCACGGCTCGATTCTCGTTCGCGCGCCTTTTTAGGGGAACGCATCCAACCAAAGCGAGCGGTTCTCCACGAATCGATCAAGACGCGTTGTTTGAAATAATTAATGAAGGTGTCCGGCGTGCACGCGCCGCGTGCGTCACGACGCGACGGAGGGCGAGGCGACTGGGCGAGTGACCGTGAAGAGAGGTGCCTGGCCCTGCGCCCGAAATCATGGCGCGAGGGCACACACGCAAATATATATCCGTATCTTTTGCCAGTGACGTTGCCTGCGACACGTTTGCATAAAAGTTTTGGAGAGAAACTGTCGAGAAACGCTTGTATTTTTACACCCGTCGTAGGAAATCATCATTAAACTCGCTCGTTAACGGAAACGATAATTATCGTGACAAACGAGCCTCCTCCACTCGCAGAAATGGGCGTCGAGCGAGAGGGACGATTTTCTCAAGACGATTTCGAGTGGTTGTGCAGTTTGAAAGAAACGATAATTTGCGAATAGAGAATAATGCGAGAGAGAGAGAGAGAGAGAGAGAGTTGAGAACGTATCGTCAGGTAAACACGAGCGATCAGCCAGCATCAAAACAGGTCGACAGGTAATATCTCTTGATACCTGGCTGTCAAACGTTATCGCGAGGCTGTCGCGAAAGCTGACCTCGCGATAAAGGCGCGTTCGCCGTCAACGGAAGCAGATCGAATCGAAGATTCTTACATTTATAAAGAGTATCTCCGACGCGAGCACCTTCCTGGAACTCAATCGAGCGGCGGTGGCGATCAATAATCGCCGGAACTAAAAGTTAAAAATTAAGAAGACGGCATGCAACTTGCCGCTTGATTTAACGCTGGGAGACGAGGCGCGACATGGTGTTTAAGACTGCCCGGAGCGTCGTTGCAAAGTCTAGGCAGAGCGCAAGAAAGACGGATAAAATTGTCCTTCCAGCAGCAACTTTACGCGCGAAACTCTGGTCGTCCGCCTCATTGATCGCTACCCAATCAGGATTCACCGGGGCGAAAAGAAACTACAATATTAGGAGCCTACTGTTATCTAGCGGACGCGATACGTGCCTCGTACTGCGATTACGCTATCTGCTTTAAGCTCTTTGCGAAACGATACCGGCGATGTTCAATTGAGAGGCGCGTTTTATGCCGCGCAATTAATGCCAAACGCGTGATGCCAATTCAACAGTCACAAAGGTCGCTTTAAAGAAGCTTCACAGAAGTACCGTCCGCGATTTTTCTGCAACGTGGAACGACGATGAAAATTGCGACATTTGCATTCGGGACAAAGTGAAAGAGAGAGAGAGAGAGAGAGAGAGAGAGAGAGAGAGAGAGGGAGAGAGAGAGAGAGAGAGAGAGAGAGAGTCCGCCGGGAAGGAATTTCCGTAGAATCGTTGTCGCCCCGAAGAGCTTGTCTCTGTCAGCATCGATTCTTCGTAGGCAAAGGTCACGGAGGCGAGAGACGGAGGGAAGACGGTCGAAATAAAACGCAAGTCGCTGGAATAATCGCGGGGGCGAGCGAGAGCAATCTGGCGCGCGGCCGGAGCGTGTGTTGCATAAATCTCGCGTGCTCGCGCGTTCAACTGTCGTTGATTATCGGACTCCGCGGCAGACTCGATCGCACGCGAGATTCGAGAGTCGCCCGCGCGGAGAGGAGGAAGTTGCGCGCGTGCGAGAGACGGCGTGTGAAGATACCTGTCCGCGGAGGGCGCGTTCATGCCGGAATCGATAACGCCGAGGAGGGGAAGAGCGCGACGCGAGGAGGGCAGGGGATGCGACCTGATGACGACGCGATTGCGATGCACGTCGCAGGTAAATAGGTCGCCCGATGCGAAACACACGGGCAGGCGCTCGCGCTCGCGCGCGCGCGCGCGCGCACGGCCGCGTACGACTTCTCAGCTCCCATTTTCGAGGTTCGCCGATATGTGCGAGTCATCACTCGCCACTCCGGAAAGACTGCGAATCGCGCCACGTCTTCTCTCTCTCTCTCTCTCTCTCTCTCTCTCTCTCTCTCTCTCTCTGTCTACTTCTGTCGTGTCGAAGAAGCTGCTGCTTGTCTCACGACTCACCTGTGTACACCTGTGCGCCCGACAGCGCCGGTTCTCCGGAAGCGGTGTCCAGAATTCGCAGCCGCGATTCGGCCCGTGACACTCGCGGTCTGTCAAACCGTACGCTCGCGGTGCGCACCGTGCGAATAAGGGTGGGTAAGGGGGCGAAGTGGGCTGGAGGGAGGATGGCGATAAGGATGACAGAGGAGAGCGGGTAGGAGAGAGCGCGAGAGATCGACCGATGGAAGAAGGAAACGCAACGGACAGAGAAGAAAGAATCTCCAGGTGAACGGGAGAAAGAGAGGCGGAGGAGTGTGAGTCGCGGGCGAAACACGGAAAGTTGTCGTCTCGAGAGATGGAGATAGAGAGAGAGAGAGAGAGAGAGAGAGAGAGAGAGAGAGAGAGAGAGAGAGAGAGAGAGAGAGAGAGAGAGAGAGAGAGAGAGAGAGAATATCTGATAAGAGAGCCTGCTCTTGTCACGGGAACGCGACGAGAGCCCGAGGAGAGCACACGGCACGCGCGGCTCTCTATCGCGGCGGCATTTTCACTGAGGAAACGACAGCGAGGGAGCGAAAGAGCTCTCCGCGGCGAGACCCCCCAGTCGGAGCCCCGTTTTCGTAAACGTTCCTTCTCTCTGCGTATCGGGAGCGACCGGAGCGGCAGACACGCATGCGCTTCTATTCGCGATGGGTGAGCGCGAGCGTGAGCCTCTTATCACGACGGTGCGGGGGTGCAAGTCGCAGCCATTCTCTCCTATCGGCTGTCATGCGTGGGCGAGAGAAAGAGAGAGAGAGAGAGAGAGAGAGGGAGAGAGAGGGAGGGAGAGAGAGAGAGAGAGAGGGAGAGAGAGGGAGAGAGAGAGAGAGAGAGGGAGACGTGGGTTCACGATGAGTTGGAAGGAGAGAGTCGCGAGCGAGACAGGAGCGGAATCGGTCCCTCGAATACCCAGTCATTAATTATTCGCGAATAAAATGAGCTTTTAGCGTTAGCGTTCGGTTAAAACCGAAATTGAAAACCAGCTCGTCTCTGTGAGAGCCCGTTTTAAAAGACGCAGAAAAATAGCAGATGAGCAGATGACTTGTAAAAAGAAATGCTGTAATCTATGTCGATACACTCTTCGTTTCAACAAATTTTGCAATTAGTGATATGATGGGATTTTGTTATTCTTACGTCTTCTTCTGTCGCTGTGCAATTTTTTGATTATACATGTATCATAGACTAAGATCTCTCAGGTATTACGAAGCATCGATTACGTTTCCTTTAACATACTGGCCATCACTCTTAAATTAAGTTATTACTATTACAAATCCTTTCTTATCAGCTTACCGCCTCACTTGAGAAGCTAAGCCGACAACTAGGATCTCTCTCTCCTTCTCCTTATTTGCTTCTAAATTTGCCGTAAAGAAGAATGCGATGTAAGCTTTTCAGCGCGATAGAGAGAGAGAGAGAGAGAGAGAGAGAGAGAGAGAGAGAGAGAGAGAGAGAGAGAGAGAGAGAGATAAAGGGTCGTCTGTGCATGAATTACGAAAATAGCGCAGACAATTTGCTGCAGCGAAGAATTTATTGCGCATATTTTATGTACATTTTCTCCCATTGCATTTCAACTTTTAAAGAATCACACTTGTTGTTTTAACGGCGCAACAATCGCGCTTAAATCTGTTGTTTATTCCAACTTCGCGTGTTATTGCTCGCCATAAATCCAGTCCTGTCGTAACTGCCAATCTCGCAGTTCGTTTTCGCTTATCTGCTCCTTTAGGAAGGCAACAGGGTATCGAGGAATGAAGGAATGTACCTTTTAGAACGGATCGGGTACGGGAATTTTCGGCATGCGGCCTTCCATCATGTCGTTGAGCAGCACGCTAATTTCCTGACGGAACAAACGAATCACTTTAGTTTGAACGTATCGTTGAAAATAAATTGAGCCGTTTTCTCTAATCTCTCTCTCGTGGATCAACTAATAATAAAGCATCAACACCATCTCGTCGAGAAAACCTAATCACACACCTCTTCTCGCTGCGTCCTCAGTCTGTCGATAATGGGCTCGTTAAAGTTGGGGTCGTTGCTGGGGTCCTCCAGTAAAGCCTCGTCGTTCCGCGAGATTTGCGGTACACTGCGGGATTCGTAGATTTGTTTGACGCTACCTAAAATAGCCGACGGTCTCGGGTTTTGGGGGAACTGCAAATCGATCCGTCCGAGTGAATCCGCGCCCGCCGGCATCATTAATGGCTTCTCATAATCGGCGCACTTTTCCTCGCTCGCGTATCATCGATCGTGCAGGCACAATATGAAAATTTATAGCGCATATAACTCACGGTGATCTCGGATATAAGCGCGAGCTCGATAAACTTTACAAGACCCTCTGTAGAAAGCATCCGCACGGCAATCCAAGCCGGGAAGACTTACGTAAACGGCGAACCGAACCCGTGATGAGCTAATAGATCTTTAATTCGTCGCACGAGGATCTTATCTTTGGACGAGTAGTAGTAAAGACTCGCGCCCAAGCTGTGAGCCACAGCCCTCAGCGTCTTGCCGACCAGTTCCTTCTCACCCAAGTCGAGTTCCTGTCGTATGCGCATTAATTAATTAATTAACGGGCGATCTCTCAAATTTATTAAGTAACAATTCACTTCACGAAGAAGCAGCTTCTTGGCTAGCTCAAGCCGCCGAAAGTCCGAATCCTGAAAAAAATTAACATACCTTGAATTCATCGTATCGCCCCCCCACGATACATATCCTTATAGGAAACGGATCGACTCCGCGCTCCAGATCCCTCTTCCTGTCCGATATCCTTCTTTCTCGCAATTCCTGAATGGTATCCGCGTCGTAACTCATCCTCAAGCCGTTTCGTATTACCGAGAGAGTCTCCTCGAGGGAGGCCCACAGCTCGCCTGGCCGTGATAAATCCAACATCATCAATAACACCGTGTGATGAGGAGAATGCGTTAGCGTAGATCCCGTCATCGCGACCGACACCAAAGAAGAAGCCAAGTGACCCACTTCCCACACGTGCACTATATTCTTCACCTGCTGCGATAGCACATTATTGCTATTTATAACTTTAATTCGATACCGATTTAGCGCGAAAAGCCTCGGGATAAAATAAACGCGATGGCACTACGCTCTCAGTTGTGCATTCGATATTATTATTCGATCGTTGTAATCGCGCTGCGGCGCTTCGGGAGCACGCGCGAGCGCGCGATCTGATGTCGAAATTACTACGACTCGCGTCTCTCATGAAAGACGCGAGTTCTATTGTCTATAAATATGTCCCGGTCGATAAATGAGGATCGAGCATACGCCACTTACTAGACTCTTGGCAGTTTTACGACCGAACGAATAATCCATCGCTACGGTCGGCTTCGGTCTTTCCTCCTTTTCGAGAAATCGATACACCATCGTTGTCTTGCCCTAGAAAGTCGCAGTCGGAAATGTGCAAAGTGTTAACGGCGTGGTAATGTGTGTGCGGGATACTAATACTCCTGATTTCGTCTTCACTTACAACTCCCTTGCTGCCGAGGATAATAATGGATCGTTCGTGAGTCTCATTGGGATCAGTCTTTCGCTTGTTTTCCTCCTCGGTGGCGAGTCGTAATGCAGCCTCTCGCATGGACTCCTCGCTACAAAGTTAATTTCAACATACTCCGATTCGCACTTTGTGAAAAACACGCGAGATCACGGCTGCTGCGATAAATAAAGATAGCGAGACACAATAACCACTTATTTATAGAATTAGATCTTTATTGAGAGGCGTAGTCGCGTCTACGCGTTTTTCTTTCGGGAGATCGCTCATTCGTTGATTATTATCGCGGTATCAGCAACGACTGCTGAACGATAAGGACGAGATCGATACAAGAGATACTCCCACGCGTACTCATACTCGGTCTCTCTTAGTGGATCTTTCAATCAGTTTTAATATATTGCCGATAATGTGTTAAAGATAACAAATTGATTATGTAGGCTACAACAAATTAATCACCGATTTTCCGTGGACATTCTCGCGCGGAGAGACTCCGTAGTAGTTGCGTTCGTACGTGATTCTGTCTTTCTTCAGGTTATGCGCTTCATGTTTTGCGCTTTGTTACCACGGCGACGACACGCCGGTGCGCCCATTCATACAATTGTACCGCCTGATCGTAACCTGTACACATACATTCGTGCCGTTCTTTAACGCCCAGTCTTTTCTCCTCGGATTACAAAGATCAGTAGGCGCGCTAGGATGCTCGTGCAAATATGTAAATAACATCACGCCATTGCCAGCTGCGGTGTCATTAATTCGTTTTATGTTAATGCTCACAGTACATTATGCAAGATGGTACAAGATACAATAATTTAAATCTAAAAATTAATAATCTTCCTACGTAACACGCTTCTCATTCCTTCTTTCGTATGCGCGCGATGATCTAACGGGAGAGAGGTCGTCAGTCTTGGTAGAATGAAATCCACGGAGGATATCCTTTGTAATAATAGTAATCGGCTCCGAGCGCTCTTCCGCGCGACTTCCCTTCCGTAGTGTGTGACAAAAATGTGTTCAGAGCCTTATTCTGTTTAATACGCTAAGGATCACCACCCGGCGCGCATTACGCTCTAGATTCGCAAATTCATTTATGAATTAAAGTACAGTCGATCAGCGTATCCACCTCTCGCAATATTATGTACAATACGGACTAGATGAAGTCAGGAATGGAATGCACGATACAATCCGCGATATAGAGACTCTCGGACTTTCTTCTAAATTTATTCATGTGAGTGCACATATTTTTTTTCTCTCCTTTTCCCCTTTCCCTCTTTTTGCGCGTCCCCTTTAGAATATTTGATAAAATCTTTCACGAACACATTGTCTTTCGTATATAATTAATACCATTGTCGACTGCACATAAGAATCGCGTTAATATCAATTATGAAGAATAATAATTACAAATTCTTCTTTTTCTCAGAGAGAGAGAGAGAGAGAGAGAGAGAGAGAGAGAGAGAGAGAGAACGAATTTTTAAACGACGAGCGACGCGTACATTTTTGTTGTGACCCCTTTCGTCGCGACTTCGTTCTCGCGTCAATTACAATCGACACATGTAACAATTCACCTATCTTAGATGTTCCTTGCAAAAGAAAAAAAAAAGAAAAACAGAAAGAAAAGAAAACAATACAATTCTCTGCGAGAAATATACAATCAGTTCGGAAATAGAAGTTGCACATGTCTCTGTTAGACACTGTTAGATATCATACAAAAAATTTACAAATCGCTCTCGTTTGGACCCGGCCACACAAAAATCGTGGTATATCTGGAGATGTCTGCGAGAGAGACGATGCTTCATTCGTAACATAAACAAAAAAACGTGACGTTTCTCTCCACTCCCTCCCTCCCTCCCTCCCCGCAGCCGTGTGTTGTATTAGAAAATAATACTTTCACAAAATAGCTACGGACATATCTCTACTCGATATAATTCATGTATACTTTGTAGCAATTTTGTTGTTGAACACTATGGTCAGCGGAAATACTTGAGAGTCATGTATGACTGACTGGTCGTCCTACAAACATTGTCGATTGCAACGCTTGGAGAAAAAAATGTGTCTCGTGGAATGAAAACAATTCAGTTGTCTGATCATTCGCAACTAATACAATCAACGTTGTCAGAATCATGTGATATGAACGTTCATAAAATTCTTTCGCCCGAATGCGTGAACATTCCGTCTCACGAAAACACCACGCTTGCGTGTCGTCCGTCACCGTGTTTCGTGTTTCGCGACGACGACGACAACGACGACGACGACGACGACGACGACGACGACGACGACGACGACGACGACGACGACGACGATGAATAATACAAAGGAAGACGAGTGTGTACGGATTAGTCACCTTCTCCTATAGTACTTCATGGCTTCTACGATGCAGTATATCACACGCTCTGCATGTTATCTAGTCCATATGTCGCTCATCCAATTGTCATTTAGCTCTTCGCTCGGTAGTACTTTTAGCTTTCTTAAGGCTTCCAAGTAGAACGTGAGCTCGGACGTGACCACACCGTGCTGAGGTCCGCCGTTGTTCACGATGTTCATTTTTATCAATTGCTCCCTAAGCTTCTCCTTGAAAGACGTGTTTACGGTGCGGTAAAGCGATTGTACTTCAACGGTAGGTAGAATCCCGGAGACGGCTTCGTGAAGTTTCATCAGGTAACTATGAGCAGAGGATGAAAGAGGATTCGTTAGATGGCACGAAGAAGGCGACCCGACGGAGGCGGGGAGGGGGAAGAGGAAAGATTGCGGCAATATACTCTTTTTTTTCTCTCTCCTTCTCGGTGCGCGTGCCGTCGCGTTATTTTACCTGGAAATATTTCTAAAAGATTTCGACGGCACCGGAGGTCTCGCTGTCCACTTGGATATTTGGCCGCCCAGCAAATTGTCCACGATGGTGAGGATTTTCCCTTCGATTTCCCGCACGTGCGCGCGAATATCCTTCTCGACGCTGTCTAACAAAGCCACCCCGCCGCTCATACCGGACGTGCCAATGAGTCCTCCTCGATTAGGATTCTGTTCCATGAGCGCTGTGTGCATTGAACTGTGCATTAGGGATCGCAATTTCCAAATTCGCTCGCAACGACGTTGCATCGTCGCGGGAGACAACTAATTTATATTTATATCGATTAAATAAAAGGCAAAGAGGATCCCCCGCGACGTTTAACGAATCGTCGCGACGCCCGACATCGTTGGACGACGACGACGACGACGACGACGAGCCTTCGTCAGCTACCTTGGAAATGCGCTTTGACGAACGGCATGAACCACAATATGAGCTTGAGACTTCGCGCCGCCAACACGAGGATCGTGCTCGTGATGGTCTTCAAGCCCGCGACTTGTATCGCGCCCGCGCCGAGAACCAGTTGACAGCATCGCGAATTGTAGCGTCTCAGCAGCTCGGCCAATTGTCTCCCTATAGTCCCGGACAAGGCGACCAACTCACTGCCGGTCCTAAAAGGCAGGCCACAGAGAGAAAGAGAAAGAGAAAGAGAGAGGATCGCGCGTGACACGCGCGGTCACCGACGAGACTCGTCGCCCCGACAATCGTAATCAGTCTTCCTACCTGCAGTACTCGTGTATCATTTGTATGAGCATCAGAGCGGTCCCGACCACGGCAAATCTCTCGTCGCCGACGACGATAAAGTTCTCCACGCCGTCGCTCTTCGTGTCGTCCTCCTCGCGCGTGAACATCTTTAGCGGAAAGCACTTTTTCTCGCACACGTACGTCACCAACGACTGAAATTCCAAGGGCACATCGGCCTGCTTCCATCTCTCGGATTCCAGCAGCAGCGTCAGCTTGTTCTTCCGTTCGTTGTGAAAACGCTGCACAAATTTGCTCGCTTGGGCCTGTAATTACGCACACCGACCGATATAGAACCGGGGAAAGAAATGATCTGTTTTTCCTTTACGTAGGTGTGATAACAACGCGACAATAGCTACCTTGAACGCCGAGCGTAACGCCGTGCACTGCTTGCCGCAGAGTTTCTCGCAAGCGTACGTAAATTCCTCGACCATATTGGCCAATTGGCAAACCTGAGCGGTCGTCGCTCTCTCGCTCAGCCAGGAGCCCTTATCGTTCCACGCTTGATACTCTTTGTCGTCGGACTTGTGGCTCTGCGACGTGTCGCCAATAACTTTGTCCTTGTCGTTGTGAAACTTATCCTTCTCATTTGTCCCTGCTGAAAGCAGATTCCCCATTCGCTCGTGGCAATAATCGCATACAGAAGTAATCATATCAGTGAGTTTGGTGGTTACTCGCGTATGCTCTTCTTGAGTCAGTAAACGATCAGGTACTGATTCATCGAACGAGCCGTCGCATAAACGTCCCGCCGATAAGTCTGCGGTGTCTCTCATTACATCGTGAACTGCCTGAGGAGAATATACATGCACCGTTATCATACACCGTATACATACGGATATACGACGCGCTCTGTGTCTGCCGAATGTTCCCAGAGCAGACACTCAGAGATAAGACGCCGAGGATACGCCGAGGATACGCCGAGGAAAGTGACACACGGTCGAAAGTTACAATGTCGAAAGTGTCGATTTGAAAATCGCGTGACCCTGAATTAATTGCCTGCGGCATTTCAGCGGCATCACACAATCACAGACAGCGATATCTTGCCTGAAAGCTTGCTGCTTTCTAGCAAATCTTTCGCTTGTCCACTTGTCAAAGCTGGAGCGTCAAGATATTATTCCATATAGACGAGACACAACGTTAAAAGTTCAATTTAACGAGCGATTGAAAAAAGTGCGAAGGAAAAGAAGGAGAAGAGAAGACTTTCCAATTGGCGTACCTTAACTCGTGATAGAAGATAAGTGAACGACTGTATGGTGTTGTGGAGCAGAGTTAATCTCTCCGTCAAAGATAAGCCCCCGACCTCGAGAGCTGCTGCCTGCTGATCGCTGCAACAATCGCTCGCAGCCAAGGCCTCGATCACTCGTTGCTTCGTTAACGCTCTTATCGTAGTCACAGCTTCCTCTTTGTACGTGTCCACAAATTGAAAGTGTTTCTGACGCAGCAGTCCGGAGATGATGGACACCAGCTTATCCTGTTCGTTGAGGACGTACAAATGATCTCACTGGGAAGAGAGATGGTACGAAGGTTTGTTCGCTACGAACTAAGGATGACAAGGTGCAAGATGGGCGAAAAATCGCGTGTGCGACACTCACGCCGTCCAGAACGGTGTTTTCGCCGCCCAACGGTCTGTTGAGATCCGCCGTCGCGTATCTCTGAAACTCGGCGGACAGCATCTTATCCACGAGCTTCTCCATCTCGGTCAGTTGCGAACTCAAGTGTCTGGGTAACACGAGCGAGAGAGAGAGAGAGAGAGAAAGCGTTAGTTCAAAGGAAAGAATTCTCATGCACATTTTTGGCTGACATCTTCGGTGCTTCTTGATGACTCACCTGAAGCTGTGTATCCCGTTGAGTTCCTGCAAGAGGATCTCCTGCGTCGTGGAGATGAGATCTAGCGCCGCGACGTAGTCCGGCGTAGATAACAATAGCTGTATCATGGGTTGGCTTTGATGCACAGTCGCCATGAGCTTCAATTTTTCTTGAACCAACAACCTATTGGACCTGGCGCGTTCCAAGCTTCACGAGAGAGAGAGAGAGAGAGAGAGAAAGAGAGAGAGAGAGAGAGAGAGATCTTTTTATGTTTCTTTGAAATGCTCAAGTGCTCGTGTTTTCGAGATAAACGCACACACGCTACTCGCTCGTGGACCTACCGTAAAATTTCTAATGAATTTTTGACTAGATGCTGATCGACTTGACGAATATTCTTCCTGAGAGCTTTTAGAACCGTGATAGTCTGAGTGAGTTGTTCCATGAGCGCATCGTGAGACGTCATTGCGTGGAAGAAGGCTTGAGATTTGGACGCGACTTGCTCAGCTATTCGCACCTCCACAATGTCCAGATAGTGACTCAACTGTGCGTGAATTTGAAGATGTGTCTTATGCAATAGTTTTGGGAGAGTTGTTGTAATCACTCTTGCGAGTTTATTATTAACAATCTACGTGGTTCTACGCGTGAAAGAATCTTTCGTCGGTCCGATTCTTACGCATGCCATCTCTCTCTCGCCGCACATCGAGAGTAAAACGTTCGATTGAGAGTTGTTCGCTATGTATTTGTTACGAGAGTATTCTTGTACAGTGCGGACGGCAAGCTTCGATCGAGAAGTACAATGTTTCGCGAGAAAGATCTAAATTCGTCTGCTTCTTACGTTTCGTGGTTCGTACCTTCTCTTGCATTTGCTTCACGTGCATAACAATGTTGCATTCCTCGGTCAACAGACCGTCTTTCGCGAACGGAAACACAGCGTCAAAGTTGTCTTTTTGCGAAAGATCTAAAGCCGGCACTAAGAAGATCTTTGGAATACTAGCTAAATCGAATTGCAGCCGATCTGAAGTGAAAAATACGTTGCAGTAGTTCTTGAGAGTGATTATGCGCTCTGTTTGATAACTCCGAAAATACAGAAGTTAGTTAAAGCGATATAACGACATAAGTCCTCTCCTTACTTTTGTTCTTTTTCATTATTCTCTACATTATACACTACATTGACTACATACTGAGAAACGCCACTTTACCTAATGATTTCACCTTCCTAAGATTTGGAAAATTTTGAAGCAGCTCGTTCGGAGTAGTTGGCCTATTTGCGTTCGAGTTCATCCGTGAATGTTTCCGATATCTCTGAAAGAGAAGACACAAGGTCAATTATATACAAGCTCAAGCTCAAGCTCAAGCTCAAGCGTTCTCTCTCTCTCTCTCTTTCTCTCCCCTCCCTCCCTCTCTTGTGGACCGAAGCCACACATATAATACATGCAATATATAAAAAGGTGTCCCTCCATGCGTGCGGAGGTGACACGAGTCTACATCGACAATTACCCTTGCAATCTTTTTCAAATACATCTCAAAATGCTGCATCGTGATCTCGGGCAGATAGGGACTCTTTGGGATATCCACCTTCTCGACAAACCCATCTCCCCAGGTGCGAGTGAGAAAATTACTCTGCTTCCCCTTGAAGGGATCGTTGAGAACGGCAGGTAGATTTTGCGCAGCTGAATAAACCGTCCAGGACGAGCCGGCCTCCGACAACTGGCCGTTGCTTTTTCGTTGCTGCTGCATCGCTGCGTGCTTGGTGGCGTGTGCTACATAATCCTTGTCGGAAACACCTTCCACAGGAAGACTGGTGCATACTCCATTATAGCCATAGAGGCACACGAAGGATCCACCTTCTCTGGAACAATGCTGATCTCTCAGATGTCTGGAACAATTAGCGAAACCGACATAATTAGGGACATCGATTAGGGCATCGTAAGAGTGCAGCGCTGCAGCTTCGTTCCTCTTTTATCCAAATTGTGCCTCTCTAATTCGTGCTCGTTATCCCGCTGATAGCTTAATAGCATTAATAGCATAAAGGCACATTTTACGATAATTTTATTCAGCGTGGCTCGTCGGTCGAGAATCGAGATCGAGCGAGAAGGGAACGGGGCGCGCTCACGCGCCGACGAAAACGAAGCACACAGTAGCCACAGACAGACCACCCACCTAACGAAGTCTTGAATCTGCTTGAACGTCTGATTAGAGCAGTGTTCGCACACCAGGATCATTGGCACCGTCTCGGAGTCTCTCGCGTTTTTCGCCATTGCCTGTGTCCGTCACCTCTCAGCTCACCATCGTGACGTCGACGGGCGCTCGGGTTTCGGAGCACTGCTTCTCTCACAGCTCTCTCTCTCTCTCTCTCTCTCTCTCTCTCTCTCTCTCTCTCTCTCTCTCTCTCTCTCTCTCGCTCTCGTACGCGCACGATCACTTGAGGCTAGGACTTTACACGTCCTAGCTGACGACAAACACACGCGAGGTTTCGCGAGGTGACACGTTGACCAACTCAGGGACGAAACACAGCAGGTACGCGATCAAAGTTACTAACACGGTTCGCGCGACGCGCATGATAATATAATCGCTCTCGTCGAGAATTGTTATAAATTTTATTATTATAATACGCTCGGAAGAGCGGAGCGGGAATGCGTCATCGTGTTTCGCGAATGTGCCCGCGCGTATTTCTGATGAATCGTAATTCGCTTCTTCAAATACGACGATCGACTCGATCTGTCGATCGCGACGAGGACCGAGCGCGTCGTCGCAACTCGCAACGTCACGCGCGCGCGATACTGGCCTGAACGTTGGAGCAGGTCGCTACTAAAGGAGAGAATCAGGTAGTGGGTTCTACAGCTTGACCTGCGCTCTTCAGATGGCGCATGAATGGAAAAGCTTGCAGCTCGTCGTTTTCCACTCTACGTTTCATCGATTTTCCTGGTCTGCAGGTCGTAGCAAGAGAGATGCCGCGAGTTATTCGAGACTCGTCTCGACTGGGTCGAGCGCGCGTCTATTTCTCTGGGCAATTGTCGTTTCTGCGACGTGAAGATGCCGGCGATAACTTGAATTCTTTTCAAAATTTCTCGCGGGTCTCTGCGAGAACAAGCTTCTCTTTGCTTCCGAATATTTACAATCGCGCCTGATGAGACAAAGATGAGACGAGGATGGATGTTTAAAGAATAGGGAAGAGGAAGTTTTGCAGGAGGGAGAATCAAGTGCTGCGCGGCAAGCACCTCGTAAATTTGCGCTGCGTTGACACGTTGTACGTGTCCAATATTCCTTCGCTTTCTCCGTTGCAGCTCAATTTCTCAACTTCTTCTTTTCTGACATACAGCAGCAGCGAGATGAGACGAGAAGTAGATAACATTAATCACCTTGAACATATTCTGTAAGAAGAAGATAAAAATGTCCCACCTTATCTAATCTGTCCGCAACGAGCGGAGTTCCAGAATGATCGCACGAGTTAGACTCTCACTCGCGTGATCTAACTCGCGTAAACGAGTGAATCGACGACAATTTTTTTTTTATATATAGGAGTTGCTGCAACTTTATTTCCACGTCTCGCGCGCTGCCGCGCGCAATCGCGAAAAAAACGCGTACACGTGTTCGCGAGTCGTCGTATTCGAGGAAGCCTTCGCTCGCCTAACGCCCAAACGCGTCTCCTCGCTGTTTACCACGGCGTTATCTCGCGAGATTTCGCTTCTATTTGCCGTATTTCTCGGCCTCGCGTTTATCTCATCTGTTCTCGTTACATTTCGCACGATACGCAAATTGCACGCGCAGCTGTTCCGGATCTGAGCCTCAGGCATTCTGGATGGATTTTTAAGCGTAGCCTTCGTCTCTCTACGCTCCTATCCGTGCTTCCTCACGCGACGAAACCTAGACTTATCTTGATTTGTCGTTGGTTTGTCGAGTCAGTTACAAAGTGACACGTCCTATGCAGCGTAAGTGTAAAGTCGCATCGCAAAAATCGCAAGTAAAAATATCAAAGCAGTATCAAAGAGAAAATAAAATTTGACTTAATAAAGCGGAGTAAATGGCAGTCTGAAAGAATATATATCCTCCTCCTCCTCCTCCTCCTCCTCCTCCTCCTCCTCCTCACGAGTAGACGAGAGGAAACTGAGAGCGTGACGTTTTGCGGCTGACAACAGTCCCCGGAATGAATTTCTTTCATTCTTCTCTTTCCCAGGGTCGTCATTCTCGCTAGGTCTCTGTCAGTAATCCTTAAATTTGCATGGAGCCAATTAGACGGGCGCAGATGTGTGACACGGTCGATTTAGAGAGTGACGACTCGGCCGGGCGTTTAAAGCCGTCGATTGTTGTTATTATCGTTCACATTTGTCCACGGCAGAGGCGGTGGTGCCGGCACGATTGGGCTGAGCTGCAAATTTTGTCGCGTTCGCTCCTGCTGCTGCTGCTGCTGTTGCTGTTGCTGTTGCTGTTGCTGCTGCTGCTGCTGCTGCTGCTGACCTCGGCGCACGTCATGAGCCAGCAATTTTTGGCGTTTCTCCTCCATCAGCCGCTCGCGATGCTTGTGTATGTAGTCGTAAACGTTCGGCAGACCCATAATCACGCAGGCCGACAATGCCGATCTGCATATATTCATGTCTGTCGCCTCATACCTACGTTCGGAGTCGTGGGTTTAGAAGTGGTGTCCGAGTTACACACACACACACACACACGTGTAATTTGGCAGATCGAACCGTCGTGGTCTGTGCAAATCGCAAGAGACCGCACCACGTCCGTCTTGTCCTCGTGATCGTGATTATCTGTCTTTGTGATTTGAAGGTATAAGGCACATGTATAAGGCAGATTTGAACAGTCGATTACCATTCGTTCGTTTTCTCATCGTAGCACTCCACCTGATACGTCGTAGTGACGCCGTTGAAGCCGCCGATGGCGAAGATCATGTCGTCGATGACTTCGATGGCAAAGTTGCTGCGCGGATTGTACATATCGGGGATGTGACTCCAGCTGTTTGTGGAAGGCCTGTACTTTTCGCCGCTGCACATCCTCGATATCCCGTTGAAGCCTCCTTCAACGTGGTGAATTAATTTGTTAATCGCCCAGCGATACTTGGTCTCGCTGGGACGAGACGAATGGTGGTAAAGGAAAAAAAGTTTGGCATTCCGCTCAGCTGTAGAATTCTTTCATGTTCACGCTCGTGCAAATATGTACAAAGATTCACGCCGAGGTGCCTTGCAGAGGCGAGGGACAGGTTGCGACTTTCTTGCGTACATAAATGCGCTCGCGTTCGATTCGATTCGCGATAACGCGTTTTCTTTTTTCCGTGAGAAGTTGCGTGTGTCTCAGTACCGATAACGTAAACGCAGCCGTGATAAGATATGCACGACACACCGCTCCTGCGATACCTCATCGCGCTTATCATCGTCCACTGATTGGTGTTTGGATCGTACACCTCGGCCGTATTCATGCAGTCGTGTCCGTTAAAGCCACCCGTAATATATATTTTGTCTGAAAATGTTCCGTCAATGTAATAAACACTGCAGCGTTCGTTCCATCCTCGAATAAAGTCAATGGCTCTGGTATGCGAACGTTTGAACAATTGGAGAGCAATCAAAGAAACAGTTGCAAGGTGAAAAAGGTTTTAGAAAGGTTTCTCAGTTTGTTAAATTAAAGAAATTCAAATTCGTCAATTTCTAAATTTAATATCCGGAATCTTTGTAAATTTTTCAGAATTTCAGAATTTCAAAAATCTCTCTCTCTCTCTCTCTCTCTCTAGGCTCTCTCCTCCTTAATTTGTCGAACGAGTCGAGACGAAAATTTGGAAATTTGGCCGAGTATCTCGCAGAGTAGCAATTCGAGAGTATTACTCAAACGGAAAAAATGCAAGTATTGATATTTACACGGCACGGCACGTGAGGATAAAGCAGTTACCGTTCAAAGTAGTGGCGCTTGCGTCAGATCTCTGTACGTTCATCGGCGCGACGAGGGACCACTGATTCGTCTTGTAATTGTAACGTTCCGCCGTATTTTGCCGATTGTGCCCGTCGTAGCCTCCCATCGCGTAAACCAGATCGTTCAAGACCGCCACGCTAACGTAGCATCTGCAACGTTAGCGAGAGCACCCTTGCGTTTATCCCCCTTGAGTAATCCCGTTATCAGCGGCATTATCAAGCGGCACCGGGCGCATTCTTCCTCGAACGAGGAGAGAAACCTTCGACTTCGCTTCGCTTCACCGTGAAATCGAGCGCTAATCGATTAAGGCGAAATTGGATCTCAGAGCGGATCAGAGCCGCTTCGAAATATATAATCGACCTTCTGGCGTTCATAGGAGCGACCTCTCGCCACAGCTTGGTCACCGCGTTGAAGCAACGGCAACTGTTGAAGTAATCGACGCCGTCGAAGCCTCCGATCACGTAGATGTCGAAACCAACCACCGCGAGTCCGTGATAAGCTCGTGGCCCGGTCGGATCTGTTTCGTCGATCTGCGGGGAAATGCGCGCGCGCGCGCGCGCGATTTCGCGTGGAATAACACACAATGAAATGAGATATATTGTCGTTACGTAGCCGCAAATCCGAAGGAGCAGCAAAGAGAAGCGTTTGTATCGACGATACTACCGGGATCCAGCGATCCGCCCTGGTGTCGTACGTCTCGATGTAGTTGGTCGGTGAGCCGCCGCTCCAGCCACCGATGGCGAAGAGAATCTCGTGCGGGACTCGGGGTCGCGCGATCTCCGGCGTCGGCACCTCCCCGTCTTTCTGCGTGATCATCTCGAGGTCGTAGAGGAACTTGAGAGTCTCGATGATGATCGGCCTGCACGCGTCGTTGCCCACGACGTACGGATGATCCTTGACGTTTTCCAAGAAGAACTGCGTGTCCAGCAGACCGAGCCGAATGTTCCGCATGAGGTCGACTATGTGCTCCTTCCTGGACTCCGGCTCGTGATTTATCCATCTCAGCACCAGCTCCCAGACCGTCTGCTCGCTCTTCACGTTCAATTCGTTCGCACCGACCAAGGATCGCAGCTCCTCGATCGGCAAATGCAGGATCTCCTCGTTTCTCTGAGACACCTGAGGCGCAAATCGGAGAGAAGGAGAGATTGGAGCGTCGTCCTCCATCACGAGAGCGTCACGAGCATGCGAGTGCAGCTCTCTCTCTCTCTCTCTCTCTCTCTCTCTCTCTCTCTCTCTCTCTCGTTGAAATTGCACCTCGACAAAGTGCCCCACGATGAAGCGGTAAGCGTCGTCCTCCAGCTTCTTGCAAAAGTACTGACGGGCGAATCTCATCATGCCGATGCAATTCTCCGGCGCCAGGTTGTCTCGCAGATAGTCGCAGCACAGATCAAGCACGCCCAGGATGTTCAGGTAATCCGCGCTGGTCAACAGATCGCACACGTTTTCGCGATTTATGTCGATCGAGCGCAGATACGCGTACTCCAGCAGGAGAGTCATCATTGGGCTCGTGACGCCCGGCAGGAGAACGTCGGTCTTCTCACGGGAGTGCAACGTTGTCGTGAACAGAGCCCTGTTGTGAGATCGCGACAAGGCCGCGAGACAAAGCGAGGCTTCGCTTCAGTTCAGAGCTCAGTTCAGGCGGCTCAAATTCATTTCGGGAAAAGTTTGCCGAGAGAAAATTCACAATCACTGACGAAGAGACGACGATGAAACACGTCGACATGTTGAAGTCATTTGGATGAGATCAAACCTGAAGTATGTGCTGCACGCTGAGAGTATGGCCCGGTGAATCGGGAAGACCCCGCCGTCCTCCAGCCGCAAGACCGCGTCGCAGAGCAGATTGTTCTGTCGGAAGTCGTAAAGCGATTGCATGGCCTGCGTGCTCATGCAACGGCCGCCACTCTCGGCTATTAAACGCTGCTTGCTCGCGTCGCTTTTTCTCTTGCTGCTGCTTGCTTCTACTTCCATATCCCGAAACCCGAATGCCAGACGCGGAGTGAATTTGCGATCACGCGGCGACGCTCCCGTGCGCTCACGTGCATTGATGTATGTATTTTTCAGGTCCGGTTTAACGTCCGGTTCTTCCTTCGAATCTGTTGAGGGAGAAAGAGGGGGGAGAGGGGGAGGGGGAGGGGGAGGTGAACTAACGAAGCAGGTAAGTAAATGTAAGTACGTTCGCACAGTTAAAATTGAAACATTACATAGGAGATTGAAGAAATAATGACGCAGAATTCATCAGCCTTGCGTACGCGTATAATAAATTATTATGCATTTAATGTAACATTTAATGTCGCGATATTATGTGATTGTATTGGTTATGTGCCTACTAAGTAAGTGAGTAAGTACCTAGGGGACGTCAACAATTGTCAAGCATGATTGTCTACGCAATGCTACTGTATCGTTGAAAAGATGACATACTTGATGTTGCACATCTAATTTGTTAATTTTGTACCTACCGAGTGGGAGTAATTATTTCCTGAGAATTTAGCGATCGCTCGGAAAAAAGGTTAGAACTTCGTATCGATCTCGGTGCGGCTTGATTTCTGCAATTCGCGACTTGACGATTTTTCGATCCAAGACGACGACGTGGTTGCGATGAAGTTCCGTTCGCGATCAATTACTGAAGACGACCGGGAACGGCCGAAAAGCGCCGCTGCGACGAGTGCGACGGGTTCATACGTGCTGGAATTTGGAATATGTCAAAATTTTGACATGTGGACCGAAGGCCGTCGTTTCTGCGTGCACCGCGGAGGAGGAACGCGCGTAGGAGGGCGCGTAAAGGGGGAGAGAAAGCGGTGGACAGGGCTACGAATTATTTTGCGTGATTTTTGAAGAAACGAATAAAAATGTCGTGTTTGGCTGTGACATGTGGTCTTACATGTCCGCCGTTAAGCCGAAGACTGCTGCTTGACAAAAGAGATCCTGCTGCTGTTCTTGCTTCATAGTACGGGAACACAAATATTAATATTGCGCCGATTTATTAGAAAAAACAGCATTATAAAAACATAAATTACGACAATTTTCGTGTATCGATTGAATCGTACAGTTCTGGCGTGAGAGAGAGAGAGAGAGAGAGAGAGAGAGAGAGAGAGAGAGAGAGAGAGAGAGAGAAACAATCATTTTCCACAACGCATATCTTTACTAGTTTCGAGTTTCATCGAAATTTTATCGAAAAAACCTGCGCGAAGAAAGTCGCTCGTTCGCGCACAACGATTCGATTCTCTCTCTCTCTCTCTCTCTCTCTCTCTCTCTCTCTCTCTCTCCTCACCTAAAAATTCCCTAATCTACTAATTTCTTTATTCGGCCTTATTGTTTAGTTACATCAGTTACTCGCTCGTCGTTCATGGACTTGATTGTTGAAAGAATCCCCTTCTCCGTCGTCGTCGTATCGTTTCTCTTTCTCACACTCTCGAAGCGAGTCGCACTCGATACACTATATCGGTCTGTTCTTCTTAGCTGCACTACTGGACTGGTGCAATAAGTTAAAGTGAGAGAAAAATATAGTTGTCTCATTCTAACTTATTGCGCTAGTTGCGCAGTGCAGCTGAAAAGAACAGTGACAATATGTGAATACGCTATGTGATACGCTATGAATACATCAATCATCGTCGCTGGACGTCGCTGGAGGCAAGGTCAGGTCAGGTATTGCACAGCTTCGAGACGTCGAGTACACGCTGCAGGTTGCAAGTGCAGGTGTTTATGGCCGATTCGATGTTGCTCCAGTCAGGTTGCTCCAGTTGCTTCTGCTCGTCGACGTCCTCCTTCTCCTCCTCCTCCTCCTCAGGCTCCTCGTCATTCTTCGATCCTCTCGATTCGAAACTTGCCAAAGTGTCCTCCCTCAGCTCCAACGCGTCCAACGCGTCGTGCTCGCAGCCCGTTCGTCTGCAGTTGTGCACCAGACAGGCGCTGTTGTCCGGCATCAGTCCGCTGATGGACAACATGGACGCGGCGTAGTACGACACGGCGAAGCCGTTGCCTCTCGAGATATCGTCGAAGAAGGCGTTCCACTTGCTGGCGAAAGACTCGTAACTCTTGGACGCGCCTTCCCTCGGCTGCTTGCTCGACGCGAGCCCGTGAGTCCCTTTGTTCGTCGACGCTTCACTCGGCTGCGCGCCGAGCAACCTGTACGTCCACGTGACCACGGCGAAGGTCGCCGCGTTCGTCGGGAAAGCGCGGATGATGGTAGAGTTCAAGCCGCGAAACAGGCAGGTGTATCCCTCGGCGCGCACGGACTTCCTCAGACAGTCCAAGGCTCCCGAGTAACGATCGCCGCTCTCCGCTTGGATGCGCGACTTGATCACGTCGATGGGATAGGAGATCACCCAGGAAGCGGAACCGGCGAGGCCGCCCGCTAGCAGCATGTGGAACGTTGAGATCGGCTGCTTCGAGGGCGTTCTCGTGAGAATTTCGTACGTGACGAAGTACACGCCGTAGCTGGGACCCTCCCTGAAGAACGTGATGCTGAGACCCTTGAAGACTCCGCGATAGCCCTCTCGCTTGTAGATCTTCTTCAAGCACTGCAACGGACCCTGAGAGCTCTGAGAGCCAGCTCCTGGCTGGCTCTCAGAGGACTGCAACTGCAGTCGTGTTTTCGCTAATTCTATCGGACTAGAGACCGGGGTCTGAGCGAGCCCGGCTGAAGCGCCGGCCAGGAAGCACGTGAACAGACGGTCGGGCTCGGGCATGTGCCGCTGAGTCTGGCCATAAACGCCGAAAACGATGGCGTTGACCGCTGCGATCCCCGCGATCGGGGAGGTCATGCCTCTGTAGAGGCCAGTCACCTGCGCACAAAAATACGTCATGCGTCGAAATACGTCGCGCGTGATCTGAATGGGAGATTGCGTTTTCGAGCAATTTCTTCATGATTTTCATTGATATCATAGCGGCCGCGCGATTGCATGCAACGTATCCTCCCGCGTCTCTCCCGTCTCCCGTCTCCCGTCGATGCGAAAGATGCAGAGAGTGATGGCGGAAACGAGAATGATCTGGCGGAGACATTCCGGCCAGAAAGATCTCGATGTGTGATTTCATCATTGTGTGTGTGTGTGTGTGTGCGTGCGCTGTTATTGTTGTTGTTGTTCTCTATGTGTGTGATGTAAGTAATCTCCCTTTAAATACCGATTCTTTCGCGAGTATGGTGCGAAAACAGTCCCAGGTGCCCCGATATTTCGGATTGCGGCAATCCTGTGTCTGCATGTGGACCTTGACCGTGTCCAGGGGATATCCCACAACAACACCGGCAGATCCTGGCATTTAAAAGAGAGGCTTCGAGTTACATCGAGATCAAAGTTCTCCCATGAGAACACGTGTGTCGCGAATCCGCGTTGCTTCATATCTGACAGAGCACAGATAAGCGGATAAGCTTGTGTCACGATTTCTCTCTCTCTCTCTCTCTGTTAAATTCGTTCTCATCTCGTCAAAATGATGCAAACACTGATACACGCGGATATTAATTCCATTTTTGGTTCTCATATCGTGAATATATATTTTGCAAAAAAAAAAAGACGGATATGTTTTTAGCGTCACTGTTTCCACATACGTTACTCTTGACCTGGCGATAACCAAATCACGCCATAAAGCGACTGCAAAATAGCTTTTAACGTATCACGGAGAAACGGACGATAATTGAAACGAATTTCCATCCTAACTCCGTTGTATATCTGTTATTTATCGAGCGAACACACTCCAAGTTTCGCAAACAGCGTGCAACTTTGGCGTACCGATAACGACTGAGAACGCTGCAGAAACGTTGAAGTAGAAACGCGAGAGAGTAACGGAATTTTTTCTCAAACTGATGCGCGCAAAATTAAAATTTCCGCGATGTATGCGACAGCCTACCTCCCAAAAATCCAGCGAATAGATCGAGGATCATCTTTGTCCTGTATTATTCTCGCCGACCACCTTCCACTTGCAGAACCGTCTGCTTCTGTAGGGACTGCTCTCGAGTCGCGTTCCTTTCAGACATCCATCGAAGGCGGTGCAAGTAGCAGATCGGTTAGTCGCAGCGGTCAATAAATTCGAATCCATGTAAATCGATCGCTGATTCCCTTGAATTAAGCCTCAGGCAGACGACCGAATAATAATATTCGCTTATTGCTGCAAAATAATAAATCATTTACCATGAGAGTGTCGCTTGAAGAGCGAGAGCGAGAGCGAGAGAGAGAGAGAGAGAGAGAGAGAGAGAGAGAGAGAGAGAGAGACTGACAGACAGAAGATCAGGTATCGCATTGTGGTGGAACATCATCGTGATTTTATACTATCTTTTATCTCTGCCGGAGCTGTCAGCGCAACAGATTGACAGGATTATATCCTGGAAAACTTGACTCGACTCTTTGAACTGAAACGTTAAAGAGCCGGAAAGAGCGATTTCTCTGTGATTTTGTAAGCGCGAGTTATAGGTATCCACTCGAGTCCTTTCAGGTGTCTTATCTCAGCGCAGTTGCGCTGAGGAACATCACACTTCACTGAACTCTCGTGCAATCTCTTTTTATATCGGAACGATAAAATTCTGTCGAAAATTTCACTCGTCCACGTCCGGATAGCGGATTACGAGACACGAATATCGCGACGCTCGCTTCGCTCCGAGGCCCGACTCGATCTCGATTATTTCTTACCGAAAATCAGGACAAAATAAGCCGCCTGCCGCGTGCTACCCTCGTCGAATCTTCTTTCTTACTGAAATCAATGTTTCCACCAACTTCCTCGAGTCTCGGTGCAAAGATCACCGGTCGCATTATCAAACTATATATATATATATATATGTATATATATATATATATATCGCGCGGGAATTGACGTAGACATACGTAGAACATTATCGAGACAGCGCGCTATATATTGAAGAAAAAAGAAAAAAAATATTAAAAACATTCGTACATCTCGCCGCGACCTACCGCCGTGACCGGGAGAGAAGCGCGGGTCAAATATTCTCCGATAAGATTGATGGCGCTTCGCTTCGTACGTTACGTACAGCGCGCAAACAATCGGTTTTACATTCGCGCACTGCTTGCGGCTGTGTGCAGAGCGTTTCGCCCACACGCCTATTTTCTGTAAGCAGGGTCGTATCGTGTCAAGTGGCTACGTAGCGCGACGTCGTACCCCATCATCACTTGCTGGCAAACGTGTATGAAATACAGCTCGGTCGAAAATCAGCGGCGCAAAAATGCTGGGACCCTCAATCGTCCCTGCTGTGCGAGGGGAGAGGAAGGGAGAGGAGCGCGAGATCATCGCACGGGGGCGATACAGAGCGCGACTCGGAGGCTACTCCGGAGATCCGTGATCGATATATATCGCTGAGCTTGTCCTCAGCCGGCCGCTCAATTAGTTTTAAATTCCTCTCGACGAACGGGACGGAGCACGACAGAGATAGAAATACGACGACAGGTTACGAACGAGGTGCAGCCTAACATGTAGAATATGCGGAAGAATGTGTCCCGAGAGCTTGTGATATATTCATGTCTTGCGACAACGATACAGGAACTCGGGAGAAGTGACTGATTGCGCTCCCAATTGTTACGTTGTATATGTTGAACGAAATTAACAACGTTTGTCTCCCTTGGTTTCTTCATAAAAAAAAAGAAAAGAAAAAAAAACATCACAATAATATCTCAACAGAATCTGCAATTTTTTGTCGGGCGATTGTTTGTCAGAGTAATTAGAAAAACGGATGTGCTCTTCTGCTCTTCTCATCTCCAATATCATTGTCCAATATCATCGTTGGTTTCGGCGTGATATTCCAACTCTCTCTCCGCGCATTATTGCAATCAACAGCGATGTACAACAATAAAGAGAAATGCTTTGTCGTTTAGCCTTATTTATTAGTATTTCGGAACACTTCTCTATATTACGTAACATTTCGGCGCGAATTATTTGCGCCGAATGATTAGACACATCTGCGCTATTATAAAGTGTAGACGCGCTTTCGGCAAACTATGCGCACGATTTTACGACTGGCGCTATCACTGGCGGCACGTTAACGCTGCGATAACTTCTTCGACCCTTTGTCACTTATTTCTCCGATTTCCTCTCGCGCTTGCGCTATATCAGCGTTTGTATCGAAAGGCTGCTTTTCCGTCGAATGACTTGTTAAAACTGTTCAATCCGTCGCGCACAACGGCAGTGGACGGCGTTGTAGCATCGCTGAAGACAATAGCAAGAAGACAAGCGACTCATTTCGAATCGGATCGCGCGTGTTTTGGGACTCTGAATACACAACGATGTATGCTCAAAGAGCCCCGCAAACGTCGGACGAAATTGAAAAGAAGATACGCGACAATATACCCCCAGACACGGTAAGACAATAACAATTGAGCGCACCATGTACGCTGAAAGTCTGGAAATAAAGCTCGGCACGTATATATACGTTGCACAGTTGAACATATTTACATATATCATATGTTTATCCTCTCGAAATCGTCGAATTTACTAACTAATCCTTCATCTTTATTCTTTGATAACTCGAGTGCGTTGCAAGAGAGAATATAACGAAACATATTTATTTCCTTGCGAGTGGAGACTAAATTTTCAATTGTTCTTCGCACTTTGTGCGAATTCGAGAGAACACATCGAGAGATCTACCGTGCCGTTAAAATTTCTTCGCCTCTACCTCTGTGTGTTATTCATCGACGACGCGTTATTCGCCCTCATACTTTCTCTGCACCCGTAAATAATTCGTTGTTCGCTCAACGCGTAGTTTATATATTCTCTTAAGTCTCAAGTATCAATTTATTATCGGGTGAGTGCAAAAGTTCGTGCGGAGTTTGTGAGTAAAAGTCGCACAGTGATTAGGCAAACAAAAATCTTTATTCAATCAATGATATATTCTCCATCGTTTTCTATAATCTTTTCCCAACGTTCTGGCAGCATACGGATGCCTCGATCATAAAAACTGCGCGGTTTAGATCCGAAGAACGAAGAGACGCCGTTTTTTAAGACCTCCAAAGAGTCAAAGTTTTTTCCATTTAAATAATTTTGCAATGACCGGAACAAGTGATAGTCAGATGGTGCGATATCAGGAGAATACGGTGGATGCGTCAAGACATCCCATTTCAGGCTCTTCAGTTTGCGCAGCGTCTTTTTCGAAACGTGTGGTCTGGCGTTGTCGTGATGAAAGACGACTCCCTTGCGATTTGACAAAATCGGACGTTTCTCTTTTATTTCTCGATTCAGATTGGTTAATTGGCGACAGTACTTGTCCGAATCAATCGTTTCGCCAGCGGGGAGAAGCTCGAGATAGATTATGCCCTTGCAATCCCACCAAACAGAGAGCATCACCTTCATCGGGTGCAAACTGGCCTTTGGCATTGCGTCACCATGCTCACCTGATTGTTTCCATGTCCGTTTGCGCTGAACATTGTTGTAGAGGACCCATTTCTCATCGCCCGTCACTAGTCGATCCAAAAACGACTCGCTATTGAGCCGCCCGAGTAAAGAAACGGCTGCAGAAATTCGCTTGATTTTGTTCTTCTCGGTCAGCAAATGGGGCACCCATATATCGAGCTTCAAATCGAATCCCATCTTTTTTAAACGCCGAAAAGCGGTTGATCGGTCAACGTTTAGTGCTGTAGCAACTTCTTCTGTTGAAATTCGCGGATTATTGAGCACTAAAGCTACGCAAAACATCGTCATCAATGTCAGAAGGTCGACCAGAGCGTGGCTCGTCTTCAAGGTTAAATTCTCCGCGCCGAAATTTAGCAAACCATTTTTCCACAGTTCGTTTAGCTGGTGCTTCATCCTGACAAACATCCTGAATGTTTTTTACGGCTGCGGCAACGTTTATTCCCTTCCGAAACTCGTAAAGCATAACATGCCGTAAGTGCACCTTATCGATACTCATTTTTAAAGTGATATTTCTCGAAGCAGTTTGTATGAAAACAAATGATTTTTTTTTTAATAACAGCTGAAGACGTCACCTTCCCAACGTTATATAATATGTAGATGGAAGTATTAATGACAACACTTTACGACGCTTATAACTCCATCTATTGAAACTCCGCACGAACTTTTGCACTCACCCAATAATTTCACTCGTGTTCGTGGTAAAGTAAAAGTATGCGACAACAATTGGGCTCTGTACGCTGACTCACTGTTTGTCACTGTTTGTCGGCGCCTATGCGCTCGGAATGCCTCGGGACATTCAACATTTTTATAAGGTTTACCGTGAATTGACGAAATCTCGTTGCTCTATTGGAGATTCTCTTATATATATATATATAACGGCCAACAAATGTGAGAAATTATTAGATTATTATTATCATAAATTGTTTATTCATAAAATAGCCCGATTGGTTGAATCGAGCATATCCTTCCTCTTCAGGATTCGGTGACTTTAGCGAGTTCGCTTACTTTACCAAGTTAACGCGCTCGTAGATAATGGCAACGCGAATGACGCGCATTCCTTTAAGCGAGTTATCGAGTATTGCATCGAGAAATCGTCTTTGGCTTCCTGAAATTGCTCTCTGATGATGGATTAAACTGATGCAAAGCCTCCCGCGGATTGCCGGATTGTCGAAGGATCACGTCTTTTTCTTCCATATAGAGATATCTTAATTGTTGTTGTCGTTTAATTTGCGCGATCGGATCGATGTTACGTAAACGGCAAAGTAGATAAGAAAAATGATGCGTATGCGGAAATAATTGAAAGTGTAGAGAATTTCTACGAGACACAATCTGTCCTCCAGGCTGGAACGAGGAGGAAGTCATGATGAGAGTGTATAAAAGGGTTGAAGATTGTTTAATCGTGCAGTCTTGAAGCATCTTGTTCATCTTGCAGTTCAACTTTCGTTCGGGGTTTTCCCCTCGGTTTTCTCTTTTTTGCAGAATTTTCACAGTTGCGCGACGCGCGTGCTCGAATATTCTCTAAATCACACTAAATACTTAACGATATACGATGGCAGACGTGACGGGAAAATCGGTACGTTTGTATATATGACGTCTTCCTTTTAGCATGAACTGTGTAAATTCTTCTGGCACTGGATGAATTTTGTTTTGCGCATTCAATAAATAAAATATCAATAATAAGATATTAGAATATCGAACGAATCTCGAATGAAATATCGAGGTCAATGTTTCTCCACAAAGTATCATCTCCAGAGTTATACGAGTTGTGTTCTTCAACTTGAATTTTTCGCTTTTAACGCTGGTGGAAGTGAAACGTACATTGTTCGTTAGCCAAAACTTATCCATGGAGGGAACTACATCAGAGAAGGCTGGGACTCGGCCAAAAGTACCTGCCTGATCTTTTGCCCCAAGGAAGAAGACGAGATTGGTTCACTGGGACGATATCTCCAAATGTTCGCTGTGAGTGTGAATGAAATCGGCGCTCCAAGTCCTGGTTAATCCGCGCCCTGGATATCAACGACGCGCGAAAGTGCACACGCTCGGTGTTTGCTAGTGTTGCTCTTCTTTTTTAGAAACACAAGGTGAATCTCTTGTACATCGAGTCCAGAAGTTCCCTCCGTCAACCGAACGGCTATGAATTTATGGTGGAATGCGCGCCGGGCAGTAATATCTCCTCCGCGATTGAATCTCTGCGAAACCAGTGCAGCTATTTTTCAATCATTTCTAGGTAGGTTCAAAGGAGTTTCCGACGTCCGCGTATGGACAAATTCACTTTGCTGTTACACATTACAGTTGGCATGTATTTAAACCGAAAAGCATTTTATCTATCTGGGATTGAATTCGTCGAGGGTTATTTCCGCTCTCTTTACGTAGATTTGTTTAATAACGCACAACTGCTGGTCGTTCGCTTGTTGAGAACACTTCCAACCTTTTCTGCGGTCTAGCCTAGTTCGGGATGAAAATGTCGCGCGAATGTCAGCTTGCGCTTGCACTCGTTTTCAGGAATCACAGGGACAATCTGGACACTGTGCCGTGGTTCCCGCGGAGAATACGCGATCTCGACAAGTTCGCTAATCAAATCTTGTCGTACGGCGCAGAGCTCGACAGCGATCATCCCGGCTTCACCGATCCCGTCTACAGAAAGAGGAGGAAATATTTCGCCGACATCGCTTACCATTACAAACAGTGAGTCGAGCGAGTCGCCTCTGCGTAAAATCCACCCCACAAATTTTGTCGTTGTACACTGTGGGATATTTTAGTGGGCAACCCATTCCGAAGGTAGAATACACGGCGGAGGAGACAGCGACGTGGGGTGAGGTCTTCAGGCATTTGACGAAACTCTATCCAAAGTACGCTTGCAGAGAGCACAATCATGTTTTCCCGTTGCTCATCGAGAACTGCGGTTACCGTGAGAACAACATACCTCAGCTCCAGGATATATCGAATTTTTTGAAAGGTGACGCCACTCATCCGCTGACCCTGTCGTGTAAAACGGGAAAGTTTCGTTGATACTCTCCGTACATAAGGTCATACATGCGACTTGCGCGTTCTATCATCTAATCGCGACATTGACGGTCGCGAAAGAAATTTGCCTTCGACCGTGTTTGAAAATTCCGTGTGTCAATCGTTTACTAGACTCCACCGGCTTCACTCTGCGTCCTGTGGCAGGACTGCTGTCCTCGCGCGATTTTCTCGCCGGTTTGGCCTTCAGGGTGTTTCACAGCACGCAGTACATACGACACAGCAGCAAGCCGTTCTACACGCCAGAACCGGACGTGTGCCACGAGGTCTTGGGCCACGTACCTCTTTTCGCCGATCCGGCCTTTGCGCAGTTCTCGCAGGTCGTCGGTTTGGCATCCCTAGGTGCTCCGGATGACTACATAGAGAAACTCGCTACGGTAACAAAAGTTCCTCTTTTCTCCTTGTCCTAAGTCAGAGCACCTCGAGCGAAAAGGTGCGCGCGCGCGCGATCAACTCTGTTTACTTCGGCTAACTTCGGCTGTTACTCATTTTCTCTTGCAATTCACTTCGATATCGATTGCTTCTCACTGTTACTCTTTCAGCTGAGACAGAGACGTGTGCCGTCGGCAAGAAACGTGTCGGCGAAAAATCAAGTTGCATTATTAATCTCGTGTATAACGAACAGTGACAGTGTGACACTTATTCTCGACGAATGATTCTTTAGCGATCGAGATATTATCTAATTATGTTCGCTCATAAATTCAACTTATTCGCACAGTGCTTTTGGTTCACGGTGGAGTATGGGCTATGCTTGCAAAATGGGGAATTGAAGGCGTACGGCGCCGGGTTGCTTTCGTCTTACGGCGAGTTGGAATATTGCTTGAGCGACAAGCCGGAATTGCGACCGTTTGATCCGCCAAAAACAGCAATGCAGAAATATCCAATAACCGAATATCAACCCGTGTACTTTGTGGCGGAAAATTTTGAAGATGCCAAGGAAAGGATGATGTAAGTACTACGAACGTATCTAGAAATACGACGGATAAACGAGATCATAATAAACATTATCATTTACGTCAAGATAAAACTTGCTCGTTTTGTAACGTGAATAATATTTTGTAACGTTTCCTTATCACGAAGCGCTATTTTTCTATATTAATTAAGCGTCATCGTGAGTCAGTGACATCGTAAGAGCTCTCACACGACGGCCGAGTGTCTCCGACGACGCTGCGTCAAATACGTCGTAGGACGTGTTGCTTGTATTATTGTTTGAATATTACGAAAATATCTAGCCATTCGCACGCCTCTCTACTTGTGCTCGTGGTGCACATTGAGCCGAGGAGTCGCGAATTACGAATGTCAAATAAAGAAAGCAATGTTTTTTCTCAAATGTTTTTAGCAAATTTGCCCAAACTATACCGAGGAAATTTGGCGTCAGATATGATCCTTACACGCAAAGTATCAACATTATCGACAGTAAACAACAAGTGGAAACTCTTGCAAACAACTTGAACCAAGAAGTGCAAATCTTGGTAGACTCTTTGAGGAAGCTGCAGCATTAAGATTCACCTGAGCAAAAAGAATATGCGTCATACTTAATCTATATCATGATAATATTATGATGACAGATAAACAATCGATATGTCTACAATGCTTGTGATAAATATTCTGAAATGCTTTGTGATGATACAACGTAACCATCAGTTAGTTTTAATCAGATATGTCTATAATGCTTGTGATAAGTACTCTGAAACGCTTTGTGATGATACAACGTAACCATCAGTTAATTTTAATCAAAGTGACATGCAAACAAAGAGTGTTGTGAAAACTATACATTTATATAAATTTTCTCGTGAAACACTTGAGAATTTTTCTCACAATTTTCTCACTCAATTTCAGCCAATTCCGCTATTTTCAATTAAAATATCTTCAATTTAAGTAATCAATTAACTATTAACCGTAATTGATCAAGTTTGGTCAATTTTGCTCAACATGACAAAATTGCTTGATTGAGGGACAAAGGAGATTATTGCGTTCAACTCTAGTGGAATAATCGACCGATTAAATCAATCGAAAATGGTGATGGAAATTTTAGCTCCGAGATCAACGATTATAAGGAAATAATAAATATTACAATGGTCCAACATGTATCCGTGTAATTATGATACGTAAGATATGTATGAAAAAATGATAACATTGTGTATATATATATATACATACAACAAAATATATAGTATATTACTTTCTTCACCATCGTATACATGTACAAATGTGTGAGAGTATGTACCCTGTTTTGGAAAACGCGGAATTTGGTCCCTTCTCCGATGACTTGACGGCACTTGTTATAGAAAAATAAATCCAATAAATATGCAAAAATGTGATGTGTTCAATTTGGATCAGAGCTTCTACGTCCGTCGTTGTCACGAGCGACTTACGTCCTATAATCCAGCCGTGTTCTCGAGAGAGAGAGAGAGAGAGAGAGAGAGAGAGAGAGAGATTACCAAAACGTTTACATAAAAATTCTACATTAAATATATTCTTACTTCTCCGCGGTAGTGGGAGCGCGCCTTTTTGCGAATCCTCTTGGCGCGTGTATTCTTCTTATCTCTAATATTTATACAATGTACATACATATACATACATACACATCAACACATACACATACATACACAATATATACACAATAGAGCGCGGTGATTGTATTCTTTCGTCACCGAGCTGCCCTCCACGTTCTGGTCAAATCTTTTATGCTTTGGGAATCTCTCTTCGTCAATGTATGTCAATTACATTCTCGTCTGGGAAGTTTCAACGATCGCCGCTTGTAGTCTCTCGGAGAATCACCAGAATTTACTGGTAAAAATCGTATAATAAGCATCGTCCATCATCGGGGAACTCCTCTTGTGTCGCGCTCGTATATATATATGTAACCGTTATCTTCATAAATTATAATCTTACAAACACACACACACACACACACACACACACACAGAATGGAGCAGCACTTGGAAATTCCCTCGCGCTGCCCCGCGTTTCGAGAACTTTCGCAATTGAGGAATGCCGACTAGTATCTCACAGGAAAGTCTCTCTCTGGTTCGATGGTCGGCCGCGCGAGCGAGGAAGAGATAGATACGATTATAAACAAATGTACAACGATCATAGAGTGGCGCGAAATCGACTCGCAGTCATCGCACGCGTCCACACGTAGAGGGTCTTCAGGATTGTACGTAAATACGCAGACGTGTGTGAAAAATCTCACACAAATAGCCGATGATCTGCCGGCGATGAGAGACGGTCTCGCCTCAGTTTTGCGCAGATCTCTGGTGTTGACTCGATGACGTCTCCATGTTACCGTAGATTATCTCGGCCTGTTGAGGGCAGATCTGAAAAGGCACGAGATCGGGGTTGCTGGTTTCTTGCTGCGGCGGACCCTGTTGTTGCTGCTGCTGCTGCTGTTGCTGCTGCTGCTGCTGCTGCTGCTGCTGCTGTTGCTGCAGCTGCGAGTGCTGTTGCTGTTGTTGGGTTTGAATGATAGCGCCCACTGTGCTGTGCGTCGAGCCCGGCGACGGGCTCACTTGCAAGGGATGAGAGAATAATTCCGTAGGTACTAGAGGCACTGGCACGGTGATCGGTATGGGAAGCACGTTGACGTTCTGCACGCCGTTGGATGCCGGCAACTGGACGTTGGTGTTGTTGGCGTTGCACCGGTTGGCTTGTTGGCACGGGTTCGACGGATTGTACGGTATGCCCGCCTGTGTAAAGGAGAAAAGTCGGGTTCGTAAGTCCCTAAAACACAGCCGGTCGTCTCGAGAGAAGGCGGGGTCAACAGGCAGTCAGAGTCGACAGACGATACGAACATTGAGTAACGGCGTGAGGATCCCGTATCGGGCGATGAGCAATTGCTCAGAGACCCTCCTCAGTTCCTCCTGCTGATGTACGATCAACTGTTGCAGCTCCTCGTGCTTCCGCTGCAGCTCGTCCTGTATCTGATTTTGCGCCGGGGTCATTACGATACCTTGCTGATGCAGTATCTAAAACACGGGGAGGATGAAGGAGGATGAAGACCTCGCGTCGAGTGTAGCGTAATAGTAGTAGTAGACTACGCTACAAATCGCGAGCTTGATTAGTAGGTAGTTAGGTCTCTTCACCTCGTGGGTAGGCACGGTCGAGAGGATAGGCGCAGCGGGCGTTGCGAATCCCGCGGTGACGACCGACTGCAGATTGACCGTCGCGTATTGCGCTGGATCTATGAAATTAATGCACGACTGGTTGACGTCCAGCTGTTGCTGCTGCGGCGGCTGTTGCTGCTGCTGCTGCTGCTGCTGCTGCTGAGGTGGTGGCTGCTGCGGCGGTTGCTGCTGCGGCGGTTGCTGCTGCGGCGGTTGCTGCTGCGGCGGTTGCTGCTGCGGCGGTTGCTGCTGCTGCTGCTGTTGCTGCTGCTGCTGCTGCTGCTGCTGCCTGCTGTCCACCGACGTAATCGGCTTCGACACGACGGAGCTGCTCGCCGAGGCTGCGTTGGAGCACGACCCGTGCGTTATTTGCGATTGCGGCGAGCTCCGCAACGAGACGGATATCGAGGACGTGTTGGAGCCGTCGCCGCGATGTCGCAGATTAGAGCCGACCGTAATCGACTTTGACGTCTTCGACGACTTGCTCGGCCATTGCGCCAGCGGTGTCTGACAGGACGCGGTCACCTGCGTACGCGTGGCAGAATGATTCGTTGACGCAACATGCGAGACCAGGCGTGTTCGTTAATTTTAACGTTAAGTGTGTGTGTGTGTGTGTGGCTTAACGGGAATACTAGTTTGAACAGTGATCTCGCGGACAAGCGCAAACGGCGAGCAGAAGAACCGAGAGCCCCGTTCGTCCGCGGCCGCGGCCGCGATTACGTGTTGTACGATTTGCATGAGCGCGTGTCGTCTTACTTGTTTTACAGGCAATAAAACATCCTGACTTTGCGTTTTATCGTAACCCCCCGTTTCCGCGCGCAATTCCTTCATTACGCCGACGTAACTGACCACGTAATGCGTGCACACGATGAATTCAGGTTTCGAGTTCCACTGATTGTACGTGATGTAGAACCTGGTCTGCAGCCAAATCCACTGCTGGCCCTTCGTGAGGAATCTGTAGTAGCAGGACGTTCCCTCGCCCTTTTGCATCACTAACGGGAGCGGGAGGGGAGGGGGAGGAGGGAGGGAGGGGGGGACGAGAGTGTGGCGTAAATTAATTATATATTAAATTTGTACCGCACCGTCCACTTCTCGTTTCGAGCACTCACGCGATTCGTGGCACGTGACCACGTTGTCCAGATCGTCCACGTGGTAATAATCATAACCGGAAGTGCCCAACACCTCGAAGGGCAGGTAACCGATGATGGGCGGCGCTCTGTGGTCCAGGAACAGGAATTTCCACTCGAGGCTATGGCGGGACGTGAATTCCGACTTTGCGTTGTCCGTCACGGATAGCTCTCGGATAAGCTGAGGAGTCTGAAGACGACCCGTACCCACAAAGACCAATCTGCAAAGCGACACGTGAGTGCGACGATGTGCGCGGCATTACTTTACCTTTGTATCTTATTTGCGCGGAGGTCGGAGGTAAAATACTTGTTGTCTGATCCGCTGGTATTACTAAACTTCGGACTCGCTAGCAGATTGTCAACGTCGTTGTCCACCGCTGAACCTGAAAACAACGCAATGTTCCATCGATTTCGCGCGTTTCGGGTATTCGTCCGCGGGCGGACGATTAATTTTACGGGCGGATCTTTACTCACGGAAGTATCCGATAAACTGTACAAGCTCATAGACGGAGTCCTCCCGAAAATCGAGTCCGCCTCGTTTGATGTGGCACGCGAAGGATATTTGGTCCTCTGCGCGCGACAGATCGTCTTATTAGCCAAAGGGTCACGTGCGCGGTGACTTTCGCATAATCGCCGAGAGAAAGTACCTTTCTTTACGGGATGCCTGTCCCGCGCGCCGCTAGGATTCAGCAGGATATTGTACAGATGAGGCTGGTCCTCTTGGTACGTTATGTCGTAAATGGTCGTGCTCTCCAGTTCGTTCGGAAGATAGCCGAGCAAGGATGTGACGCTTTCGGATACGTAGTAAATACGTCCGTTTGACGAGAAAACCATGATAAAGCCATCCAGTGCCTGTGTGTTGACGTAAAAGTCGAAGAGACTAATTCGCACACACACACATTCAAGTTTGTCTTCTACTTTGTTCACACAAGTTTGTGAACTGCCTTGTGTGTGATCGGTCGGCGGTTTATTACCTCTAATATAAGGTGCGTGAATTCCTCGTTCGAGAGAAAGGACGGCTTCCAGTCTTCTTGAATCTCATGTACCCTCGACCTGACTGCTATCTCTGTAAGACACAGCCGGGTATAGAAAAGCGTGATGCGCAATTTTAACGAAGAGTTGGAATTTAGAAAACAGAGGAAACGACATTTATGCAACTTAATCCATCTAAACGACACACTTTCCATTTATTCAGAGACAGAGTCCGATCAGTCGATTAATTCGAGGGGAAACACTTTAGCAGATTTATATTACAGTGTAAAAAGTACCCACCATTGTGATTCTTTAGAAACAGTATTGTCGACTTCAACACCGTGGATTTGTCCATTTTTCGCGTGTTAGCACTGACCATGCTGCCGAGCTCGTTGACGAGCATGTTAAATTGGTCTCTGCGTTTCTTTTCGCTGAGATTGCGCGATTTCCTGAAAGGTGGACATCAACACACGTTTAACGCTTATCGAGACGAAAATCGTAACGTCGCATCAGTATGCATTGCAAATGCGTCGTATGTTCTCTTTTCAATTTAGACGCGTCCTTACCGCTTCGTGTCGTCTTTGTCGTCGATATCATCGTCCATGATGTCACTGGAGACAAGACGCGTACTTTAATTTGTTAATCTCCGGCAAAAATTCCTCAGAGGAAGAAGAAGAAGAAGAAGAAAGCTATTGCTACTGCGTGTGCTTCTGCGAGAGAAGATTACCCGGACCTATATCGATGTGTATTTACATTTGCTTTTACGGTCTCACACGTCCGGCGTACGATTCTCCGCCGGGATTGTTTGACGTCATGTTGATTACCTCGTCGTAATTTATCAATAAGAATTTGCACGATAATATATGCAAACAAGAAGTAGAAACGCAAGATTTATATATCTTACAATTCGGCGAGTTAATTGCCGCGAGAATAACTGATCGTTCGGACAGATCGGTGCGCTCCCACTTGGGGAGCACAACTTAACTGTCTCAAGTAGAAACAGACGCGTGCGGCGTGCATGGCCGGACGAAACGGCCGACCACCGGCAGCGATCGCGGACGCGCCTCTTCAAAAATCGTACTGATATCTAATTAACAATATTCAATTAAGCATATTAACAAGCAGCTTCATAATTCTAAACTAAAGGACCAAAGGACTAGAAGGAGAGCGGTTGCACGAGAGAGACGACGGAAGATCTTTGCGAAAGTGAGCGCGTCGCGACGCACATAAAAATTACTTCATTTCCATACACAGGTTACGACGTAACTTTGTGTACAATTTTACTCAGCGCATGTAACACGCACATGTAGATGCATCTTTATCAAGCGCATATTTACATTGCACATTTGTCTCGTCAATCAACAAGGCAGCATGTGTTTCGCAACGCGGACGCTCTTCCGGGTTGATCTCGATTCTTTCGTGCAGCCAGATAAAGCCAGACTTTTTCGTAAGTGAAGTAGTCGCCGCGAGCGGCGAACAAAAGGCCGATCGCAATATGCCACTGCAGCTGCGCGTTGCTCGAAACTCATAGGAGAAACACTCAAGGAGAAATCAGCCCGGGGGTGGTTAATTATCGACGGTCGCGAGGAGAAACGCCGTTGAGTATCACAACGTCGAGCTACCGTGTGACTCGGCTTGGATTCACGCGAACCATCCGGACGCGTGTCGCTCGTTCAAACGACACAAACCGGACTAAGAACCTTGCCAGCCGCGATTACCCGCGAATATCCATCGGCGTGTCTCGTCCGCCCCGACCGATCGACCACGAGGAAGGTCCTCGTCGTCGGCAGCTCGTCGTCGACTGACACTGAATACGTGTATTATTGCGCACGTATGAGCGTGCGATCGCAACTCTCTCTCTCTCTCTCTCTCTCTCTCTCTCTCTCTCTCTCCCTCTCCCTCTCTCTCCCTCTGTCGTGCCTCAGGTCGAAGGAGCGCGTTGGACCTTCTGGACAGCCTCGATCGTCCGTCGATTCTTCCTCGGCAGCCTCGTGTTCACGACTCGCACGGGGTGACGTCTCCGTCGGCAGCACCGCCGCATCTTTCGGTGGGAACAGCGGCGACGAGCATCCGCGCTCTCCCGAACGGACGGTCCGATATCGCGTCACGGGGCCGCGCAGTCGGTGATCGCGCGGTGATTACGCGAGACGCTGCTGCAATGGACTGCCGATGTCGACCGTAGCGCCTGCTCGCATCGCTGCACTCAGGTTCATTAGCCGCCGCCGCCGCCGCCGTCGCCGCCGCCGCCGCCGCGAGTCTAATCGATCGCGAACGTTGCCCGCGAGTTTTTACGCCGCTCCGCGATTCCGCGGCGCGATTGCGAAAATTGCCCGTGGCGGAACGCGGCGGAGAGCGGCCGGCCGCGGTGGAAAAGTGGCTCGAGCCAGAACTGCCAACCCGCCTCGGCAAAAGTCCCCTTTGTTGCACTTTGCGAGACCGCGCAAGTCGTTCTTTGCGCGTTGCTGATGTCGCTCTCGCGATCCCTCCTCCGCGAGGTCTCTCGGCAGATCGCAGCCGCTCCCTCGCAGCTCCGCAGCTCGGGTGTACTTGGATTTTCGCCAGAGGGTTCGGTGAAACGGGGAAATGAGTAGCGCAGCTACTCGGTTAGTAAAGCACCCCTTTGGAGAAGGGATGGAAACTTTGCGTCGCAAGACTATTTTGCGGAAGAAGCCGGAGTTTTCCGCTTTCCGAGAAGATTGAACTGCGAATCTTCTCGGGCGCGTTGAGAGGCGAGCGCAGTGGAAAATGTAGCACGTGACCTGACGTCAGACGTTTCCACGTCAGACGCGCGTCGCGTCAGTGCGAACGAAACCGGAGCGAAATACGCGTTAGTTTCCGCGAATATTTCCCCGCATTTGTACGGAATAATCGCACAAGTTCGCTCGTTTGTCGTATATTTCTCCCGTCGACGAAAAGCACAAGATAACAGTATCGAATATCTGAGCGCGCTCATGCATCTCGTCGCGTCCTCGAACTTTGCGAAAGATCCGGACGATAATTACAATTTCTCATCCGTCTTCCGCGCAATCAGCTGCCTCGATAAAAGGGAAATCCCGTTTATATTGTCCGCACTGGAGCGTATCAGCTGGTCGGTCGACCTTAGGGTGGATTTTCACGCAACGATCAGGCGGGCGGGCGGGAGGAGCAGTTTTCCAGCAGGCGCGCAGCCGCGGCTTTATCGCGCACTGCAATCCCGCGGGTTTGCAGATGCCGTCGGTGAATGTCGCGGCGCCGCGATACATCAGCTCGCGGCCGCACATTCGAAAGCCGCGATTGGCTGGTCGCGATGCATTCGCGTTTGCCGCTCGCCACGCAGAATGCAGGGAGTGCATCTCTGCGTCGCTGCGACGACGCGGCAGCGCGTCGCTAAGCGTCCCGTGCATGCAATTTGCGGCCTCCGCGACGGCTGATATCGCCGTGAAATATCGCTGCGACAAATATAAATCTGCCCGATACGCTGCGCCAAACCGACCGACGGCGGTATTGTTGTGCAAAGAGATACTCACCGATCACCGTGAGGTTTCGAGCTTACGACGCGAACACGACGGCTCCTTATCTCGTCGAAACGAGAAGGAGGACAAGGAAAATCTGGGTTGCGAGATACCCGAGAATCATCGTCGGATATTTTTATCTGCGGTCTCTCTCTCTCTCTCTCTCTCTCTCGTCACACAATCGATTCGCGCTTTTCTCACCGACTGATTTCCTCGACGGGAGTGAGAAAACGCAGGAACGATTGGACGAACAAGGAGATTGAATAACAAATAAAGCGTGCCACCCACACACACACACACACACACACACACACACACACGGGGGATATTTCAATAAATTTTACATAATGTTTATTATTTATAGTGTACTCAGAAATGTCGGGCCTCAACCAGTGGGCCTTCTTCTTTTGACATATTTGATCAATGAACATCACAATGTTAATTTTCCCCTAATCCGTATAGTTACTTCATCTTCTCTATTAAGAGTGACGCGCAATCTGCTCGTACCGCTGAAATATCGGCGGGAGTCGGCATTGCACGCAGGTCTATCGTCCGTGTTGTGTTAGGCGGGTTAGGCGCGCTAGGCCACGAGATCGAACTGGCCACGAGAAACCCGCTCGAAGGAACGAGATGGACCAAATGGATCACCACGAGCCGGTGGGCCGCAAGAAGGTCCGGCTCGCTTTAACGAAAATCAAACGAACGTAACGAGCGGATTGCGCCTCGCAAAAAATAGATATGTCCAGCTCCGCGACTCTTGGTTCTCTCATCCACGATTCAACATGCCAGCATATTCGTACAACAAAACATCGAATAACAACTGCGATATAAAAACAAAACGAAAGGAAGAGGTCTACATATCTCTCAGCCGCAGCAACTCGTCGTCAAGTTCCGAATTTCGATCGGCGCGTATTTTTATATGTATATTCGATCAATCAATAATATTCGACAAGTATATTAAAATACAACGCATCGGTAAATCTTTTCTTTTCTTTTTCTCGTTTTCTTCCCTCTCTCTCTCTCCCTCTCTCTCTCTCTCTCTCTCTCTCTCTCTCTCTCTCTCTCTCTCTCTCTCTCTCTTTACGTATTACACGAGTCGTCGTCGTCAAATTTATACACATTCTCGTTTTCTCACCGGTTTGGAAAACGTCGCGCTTCATGTTGTCCATTTCGGGCCGACATTCGAGGAGTTCCTAAAAATGACGGGTTCAAAAGTAGGAGATGGAGGGAGAGGATGTGGCGGGAGGGGGGAGGGGGGGTTTCGACTTTCCTTTTCTCCATTTACTCGCATTACAACGCAGTAACCAACCGTTTCCCACTGTACACGCCTCTCTATCTCCGCTCGACTCTCTTCGTCCCTCTGCGGACAATGAAAAATTAAAGATACGCACGCGTCGCGTCGCGTCGCGTCGCGTCGCGAAACGAAACGAGACGGAACTCTCTCACGTGTCTTCGCGACGTCTCCTCTTCCTCTCGGCCTTACTCGGCCGTTCGTCGGCCGTTATCCCGTCCCCCCGTCCCCGGTTCGCTTCGATCCCCGACGCGACCAATTGAAAATTCACCGCGGGCCAGTCGCCGACGATTCGGAAGCATTCGGACAGCATTTGGATGCGGTTTCGTTCGTTATTTTTTTCCTGTTCCGACCAGTGTCGCGCTTAATTGTACTTCGTTACGGGACGGGCATAACCGGCACACGCGCAAGCTTGGTTTCGAAATCAAGCAATCGGAGCATCTCGAAACGAGAGAAGAAACGAAGGAACGCGATTCGTGTGTCGCACAATTCGCGAGCGTCTCGCGCTCTGTGCGTGCAGTACTCTACTACTTGGGCCGCGCACACGCACACGCGCACGCGCACGCACAGACATATGTACGTGGCAAAATGTATGCGCGATCGGATTGATTTTTCCTCATTTCCCTTCCGCGATCGCTCGCATCGTCGTTCGCTTCTAAATTCGCAGCCGGAGAGCGACGAACGCGACGAGCCCGAATCTCGACCACTGGCCGGCGGCGGCACGCTAATAAATGGCGCGGAGGCGGCAGTGGCGCGAGGATACATTTAAGTTCTCGTTATATAGGAATCGTGGGGGACTCGATATTCGAAAAACTTGGTAAAAATATCGGTGTTACCTCGCGCCGCTCGGCACGCCCGCCCGCCCGCTGCTCTCTCTCTCTCTCTC